GGTTGAATATTCACCACTCCCTGTCCTCAGAGACGTCCACAGGTGACCTGGATGCAAACTGTCCCAGCTCACGTGTTGTCCCCTCTGGCCCAGGAAGCCTCAATGTAGATGTTCTGGCTTCAGCTGCCCCTCCACTCACCAATTTCTGTGTTTCAGATCCTGTGCCCCTCAGATATGGTTTGAGTTGGTCGCCACCATCTTAGAACCAAATCCTTTTTAAAAAATAACCATTTGAAACATTTGGTCTCTCAATGATTTTGAATTCCCCTAACGGCTAAGGTGGCCAGCCACTGAGCCTCAGGAATTCCTGTCTCTGCTTTCCATGCTGTGATTGGAAGTATTACACTCCCATGCCTGGCTTGCCATCAACCCTAACCTCACTCTAACCCTCACCTGGAGCACTCTTCCAGCTGAGTGCTCTTCCACCCCCTGCCCAACATATTTACTTTTGCATCTTCTTTTTCTAAGAATAGTTGGAGACACAATCCAGACTTTTGTATTTCAGATTTAACCACTACCAATTCTTGTTGTACCATATTGCTTTGTTCATCTGTCACTGTGGATAGACAAATGTTCAAATGGTTACTATTATACCATGAAGAATTCTATGTTATCTACTATTATATCCAGATTCTCCAAGCTATAAAAAGCCAAATCTAATTTTAGGAAATCACTGGCCATTTCTCACAGGAAATGACATTTAAGAACTAATAACTTGATTTTTTGTAGAAAATGTCTACAAATAAATTTCAGACACAGTAAACTTAAAGTTTTTTTCTATATATATTTATTGAATAGTTGAACTTTTGTCATTAGTATGTTCATAATATTTTCAAAGGCTGGTTACTGCATGTTATGACATTTAAAATGAATAGTATTTTGATATGAGATATAAGCATTATGGGCTGAAGAGATTTCTCAGTGTATAAGAGTACTTTCTGCTCTACCATAGGGCCTGATTTCAATTCCCAGTGACCACATGGTAGTTCCCAAACATCTCTACTGGGATCTGATGTCCTCTTCTGATATGTAGGCAAACATGGAGATAAAGTACTCATATAAAATAAATAAACCAGGGGGGAGGAGAGAGACTAAGAGAGAAGCATTATTAGCTTTTTGTATGGGTCCAGAAGATGACACTTAAAAATGAATAAATTGCTTTCCTAATCATGATAAGTGCTATAGGTGACCCACTGAGTTAAATTGGTTTTCAGTACAGTAGTTTTTTCATAGCACATAAATAAATAAAAGTGGTAGTGAGTAGTGTTAGTAAATCCCTCAAAACAATTATGTTATTTTGAACTAATAAAATTTAATGTCTCAGAATTACTTTATTCACTGCTGAAACAAAAATAAATATTTAAAATTATACTATGAAGTCACTTTAGTACATCTCCAATAAGTAAATTATTTTAAGAATTATTTTGCATATGATAGAAATGATGCATTATCTATGCATGTGATTAATTAAGACATCATAATGCATCATTTGAATAACAGAAAGTGAATGTGTTAGTTGAATGAATAGCCCCTCAGGGCTTAGTGTCTAGAGTCCCATGTTTTTGTTTCTACCTTCTATCTAGGTTATTTGCTATAAGTTAATTAACTTCCATGTAATTGATTGCCTTATCTGGCAGTCTTGATGTGTCTGGACAGTAGTCCATTCCTTCTGGGCTATTAACTGGTATAATGGTTGATTATTTGGATGAGTAGTAGGTGCTGTAAGGTTTCAGTAATGAATGAGGTTCTAGACCAGCAGAGGTTTATACAGAATATCCTGCTGAATTGTAGAACTTGTTATCGTACTTCCTCACAAAGCACAGACAGAAAGGTGCACTGTTATCTTTTGAAAATATGGTAGGTTGACAACAATATAACCAAAATAGTGATTATTTGTAGCACTCATTTTTAAAACTCTACTTTATTTGGGTTTTCAGGCCTCTACATCCCTTCCACCACCACCAATACCATTCACAAATAGGAAAGAGAAAAGGTTAGTGGGAGAGGGCCCACAAACCAAAATACTTCTCCAGGCTTTTTAGAGTAAATGGGTTGGTGTTTTGTTTTTGTGTTGTTGTTTTTTTTAATTTTGGGATTTTTTGTTTGTTTTTTAAATTTCAAGTGCTTTAATAATGAATCAACTGAGATTTAGAGTGTTACAGTGTCCTTTTGATCCAGTCAAGACATGTATTATAAATTATTACTCCTTTCTATCGTCATAATCTTTTTTTCACTTATTTATTTATTATAATTTATTCACTTTGTATCCCAGCTATAGCCCCCTCCCTTGTACCCATCAGTCCCACCCTTCCTCCTTCTTCTCCTCCCATGCCCATTCCCCAGTCTACTGCTAGCAGAGGTCCTCCTCCCCTTCCATATGAACCTAGCCTATCAGGTCTCATCAGGACTAGCTGCATTGCCTTTTTCTGTGGCCTGGGAAGGCTGCTTCCCCCTCAGGGGGAGGTGATCAAAGAGCCAGCCACTGAGTTCATGTCAGAGACAGTCGCTGTTTCCATCACTAGGGTACCCACTTAAAGACTGAGCTGTCATGGGCTGTGCAGGGGTTCTAGGTTATCTCCATGCATGGTCCTTGGTTGGAGTATCAGTCTCAGGAAAAAACCCTGTGCACAGAGTTTTGGGTTCCGTTAATTTCTTTGTGGAACTTCTGTCCACTCCAGGTCTTTCTATCTCCCCCTTATTTCATACGATTCCCTGCTCTTTGCCCAAAGTTTGGCTGAGCCTCACCATCTGCTTTGATACACTGCTGTGTATCAAAGGGTAGAGTCTTTCAGAGGTCCTCTGTGGTAGGCTCCTATCCTGTTCCCTGTTTTCTCCCTCTTCTGATGTCCATCCCATTTGCCTTTCTGAATGAAGATTGATAATCTTACCCAGGGTCCTCCTTCTTGCTTAGCTTCTTTAGGTATACAGATTTTTAGCATGTTTATCTAATATTATATGTCTAATATCTACTAATAAGTGAATATATACCACGTGTGTCTTTCTGCTTCTGGGATACCTCACTCAGGATAATCTTTTCTAGTTCCCACCATTTTCCTGCAAATTTCATGATTTCCTTGTTTTTCATTGCTGAGTAATATTCCATTGTGTAAATGTACCATAATTTCTGTATCCATTCCTCAGTTGAGGGACATCTGCATTGTTTCTGGCTATTACAAATAAAGCTGCTATGAACATGGTTGAGCAAATATTCTTGTATATTGAGCATATTTTGATATGGTATAGTAGCTGGATCTTGAGGTAGCACTATTTCTAATTGTCTGAGAAAGTGCCAGATTGATTTCCAAAGCAGTTGTACAAGTTTACATCCCCACCAGCAATGGAGGAGGGTTCCCATTTCTCCACATCCTCTCCAGCATGTATTGTCACTTGAGATTTTGATTTTAGCCATTCTGATGGGTGCAAGATGAAATCTCAGGGTCATTTTGATTTGCATTTCTCTGATGACTAAGGACGTAGAGCACTTCTTTAAGTATTTCTCTGACCAGTTTGAAAAAACAAACAAACAAACAAATAAACAGAACAACTTCAAGTCTCTTAAGAAAGAAATTGAAGGAGATGCCAAAAGATAGAAAGATCTCCCATGCTCATAGATTGGTAGGATTAACGTAGTGAAAATGACCATCCTGCCAAAAGCAATCTACAGATTCAGTGCAATTCCCATCAAACTACCAACACAATTCTTTACAGACCTTGAAAGAACAATTCTCAATATCATATGGAAAAATAAAAAACCCAGAATTGCTAAAACAATCCTGTACAACAACAGATTGTCTGGAGGTGTCTCTAACCCTGACCTCAAGCTGTACTACAGTGCAGTAGTAATAGAAATGGCATGATTCTGGCACAGAAACAGAATCATACAGCAATGGAATTGAATAGAAGACCCAGAAATAATCCCACACACCTTCTGATACTTGATTTTTGACCACAAAAGCAAAACCATACAATGGAAAAAAGACAGCATCTTCAACAAATGGTGTCTAACTGGATGTCTACATGTAGAAAAATGCAAATAGATCCGTATTTATCACCCTGCACAAAACTAACATCCAAGTGGATCAAAGACCTCAACATAAAAACCAGACACACTAAATCTGTTAGGGGAAAATGTTGGAAAGAGCCTTGAAGTCATTAACACAGGAGAGAACTTCCTGAACAGAACACCAACAGCATAGGCTCTTAGGGCAACAATCAATAAATGGGACCTCATGAAACTGAAAAGTTTCTGTAAAAGATACAATCATGAGAACAAAACGACAGCCTACAGATTGGGATATCACCAACCCTACATCTGACAGATGGCTAATTTATAAAGAACTCGAGAAGTTAAAAGGCAGCAAATCACGTAACCCAATTAAAAAATGGGACACAGAACTAAACATAAAATTCTCAATAGAGGAATATAGAATGGCAGAGAAAACCTTAAAGTAATTCTTGGAATCTATATGTTTTTAAATCCTGTAGTTCTTCTCAGTGAACCAAATTTTTATTAACAGTGGAATATCTATTGTATTATGACTTAAACCTTTCGTGTACTTTAATTAATTTTGTCACTATAAAATATTTTAATTGATAAATTCTAAGGCATTGTTATCAGAAAGTTTCCTTTATGGGAAGACCCATCGTCTATCACTTTATGATGATGAATTCTTTTGCACAATTTTGAGTGGCTTACAACTTTTGTGCTGAAAAGTCACTGAAGTTACAGCTGAATAGGTGTTCATAAGCTGAGTGTCTGTCTATGCCATAAATGAATAGAACATTTCCATCTTTCTAGTTAACCTGTCAGTCATCTGTGACTTGACTGAAAGCTATTGTCTTTAACCCTACAGATTAAAGTACTGTGGCACTTATAAGCTCATACAGATGCAATACTTTTAAGCAGAGAAAGAGACCATCTTAGAAATACTTTCAGCATAACTTTGTGAGATTACATTTTGTGTGTTTACATTTTGCTAACTAGTTGTTCTTTAACTTAGAATCCAGGCCACTGTCAGTTCCCGTGAAAGCAATGCTGCACATTAATGAAGGATGTAGAAGTCCTGAGGAAAGAATGAAAGAATTTATTGGACTATTGTGGAATGCAGTGAAGAGTCTCACACTACAGGTAAACTGAAGCATTTGAGATATTAAGTTCTACTTTACATAATGCTATAAAATGTTAGCACATGTAACGATGGTATAATTTTTCAGACAACATTATTGTGCTTTGTCTCATATCCATTGGTGTATTATTCTTATTACAGGCCACATTTCCACTGACACACTTTGCTTATTATAGACAATATTCCCACAGTTCATCCCAGAATTTTATAATCAGAATTGTGTGAGAAATACGTGGTTTAGATAAACATGTATTTTGAAATGTATCTTTAGATTAAAAGTGTCCTAAGTACTGCTTTTTAAAAATATCATCCAAAAGGTTTAAAAGCTTAGTTTATGAATCAGTCTTTCAGAATTAAGAGAAAAATATGGTATGAGAAATATTGAATTAGTTTATAAAGTCTGTTAAAGTTTTCTCAATTATAAGTTAAATGTAAAATTATAATTAGCTTTTTCTTTATGGATACTATATTTTATTCTAATTTATTTTGACTTTGTAATGCTCATAACTCGTTCTATTTGTTATTAACCTGTAGCATTTTTCAGTTGGCATTTTTGTTTCAGCAGTTTGGCATATTGAATCTAGCAGGAAAGTCATTCTTTTCTTGACATTTTAAATAGATTTGGCAATAATAGTTTTTTGAATTTTTGTTTACACCTACTTGTTTAACATTACTTTCTTTTGATTCTTATAAACTTTTTGTCTGTGTAGTACATGTCCTTTTTCTTTTGCTCTGTGTTCTGTGTTTTTTAACATATTAATAGGATCATAGAAAGTGAGTGCAGATAGTGCACCCATGTACATGTGTGTGCACACAGTGACTGATAGGAAGCCTCTTAGTGGAGCTCCTCTCAGGACTTCAGAAAATTCTGTGGCTCTCAGAGGCATGTGAGTATGTCAGGAGAAGCATTATGGATATTAGCTGCCTGTTCTGATAAATTAGGAGACGAAACTACTTGGTTTTCTGTTACTTTGACAAAGTGCCTGAGAAAGGAGGAATATTTTTATTCACTGTTTCAGAAGTTTTAGTCTTTGTTTCTTAGAAGGAAAATGTGTTTCCATATCTTTGGGTCTTCTCTGAGAACTACACTATGACAGAAACTGTGGCAGAGCAGAGCTGCTCAGCTCATCACACCTGGAAAACAGAGAGCAGAGGCAAGGGGTCACATGCTCCAGAGGCGCATCCTGCCTGTTTCCTCCAAGTAGGAGCTGTCTTCTAACTAGTTCTGCTATGGTCTTGCCAGTAGGTTACCCCACCATCTGGGGACTCATCCTTCAGTGCAGTAGTTTTGGGAAACATTTTAGATCCATACCATATTAGAGTGACCCAGATGAACATTCAATGGTTCATAGAACTAATTGGCACTATTCTGTGGTCTGTAACACAACAGTTAACAGTGACAAACAACCAGGCAGACCAATGACCCTAAGTGCTGCTTCACTTTAATAGTTACACTTAAATTACCTCCTTCCTTCTTACTCAGTCTACAGTGAGTTGAGTAATGTATGATTACTTTTTTTGATGCCATTTTAAGAAGTTCAATAATGGGGCAAGAATAATAGTATTAAGATATAAAGTTAGATGCCAGCATTAGAAAAACATTTATTACATTTCCTTTATATTTCCAAGGATTCCCTTTATATTCCTTAATTGGGTTCTGAATAATATCAGCAGCTTTTATATATATAACTTACCAAGAAAACAAATAGTGTTCTATATAATACCCAGAATGAAATAACAGAATCGTATTCATCTTACTGCAAGAAACAAGCAAAATAAATGAATAAAATACAGAAAACTATAATTTCAGAACACCAGATAGTCAAGTTGAATAGCCAAAGGACTCAAGTTTAACTTAACTTAATAACCAAAGAATTTAGGGAATGAGAAAGCAGTCTGTCTCCATTCTGGTCATCTCCATTCTGGTTTCAGTGTTTCAGTACATGGTGATACCATTTAAACACCAGAATATGCCTTTCTAGGATTAAAAGATAATAGAGTCTGATTTTATTTGTCTATTTGCCATGGTTGTTAGATATAGTAGTATCTTTGAATAATCCTTTGTAGAGTCATAGAACAGAGTTATATTGGCAATTTGTTTTGGGGAGTATTCCCAAAGAGGCTTAAAACAACGAGAATGGGAGAAACAGGTAATTCAGGAATATATGTAAACTGAAACAACTATGGGCCACTGACACACTACTTATATTTTTCATTTATTTATTTGTTTTATTTATTTATTACAATTTATTCACCTTGTAGTCCAGCTGTAGCCCTTCCCCTCAGCCCCTCCCAATCCCACCTACCCTTCCTCTTCTCCTGTGTTCCTCCCCTAGTCCACTGAAAGGGGAAGTCCTCCTCCCCTTCCACCCCACCCTAGCCTATCAGGTCTCATCAAGACTGGCTGCACTGTCTTCTTCTATGCCTTGGTAAGGCTGCTTCCCCCTCAGAGGGAGGTGATCAAAGAGCCAACCACTGAGTTCACATCAAAGACAGTCCTTGTTCCTATTACTAGGGAAATGACTTGGACACTGAGCTGGCATGGGCTACATCTGTGCAGGGGTTCTAGGTAATCTCTATAAATGGTCCTTGGTTGGAGTATTAGTCTCAAAAGACACCACTGTGCCCATATTTTTGGTTTTGTTGCTCTCCTTGTGGGACTCCTCTCCTCTCCAAGTTCCACTATCTTCCCCCTTCTTTCATAAGATTCCCTGCACTCTGCCCAAAGTTTGGCGATGAATCTCAGCATCTGCTTCGATACCCTACTGGGTAGATTCTTTCAGAGGACCTCTGACACACTACTTTATTCTGTAGAAGTTCCTTAGAGAAACTTATCAGATGAGTAGGAACGGAAGCTAGCAAATTCATGGAAGTAAGTCCAGGAAGTGTTATATTTCCAAGAGTCATGGACAAAGTTTGAATGTTAACTCTGGGCTTTCTGTTGCTTATCTGTGCTTTGAAACACACCATTCCCATATAAGATTATTTCCAATTTTATGATTCTTGTAGAAACTTGTCTGTTTTTGTTTTATAACAATTCAATGTCCTTACTGAGTTTACTTAATCTCATCTCACTGTCAATTATCCGTAAATAGAGATAATGGTAGCCCTTTTTCCTTCTTTTGTTTTTTGTGAAATTAGATAATATACACATAACATAAAGTTTATCAACCTGACCTTTTGAATATACTGTGTATTTATGGTTTCTTTTTTTTTTTTTTTGAGTAAGTGTGTTGGCATATTATTATTTCTTCAGAACAGCTATCCTGCTTCTGATGTTGGGGTTTTCCTGGCTGTACTCTAGTCATGGGCTTGTGTAAAACCTACTATAGTTTAACATTTCCAGATGTTAACGTATCGTGTAAGTTTTAGAGATAAAATTAAATATTTATACTCTGACTAAGTTATTAAAATCTAAGTGAAAATATGTATTGTAAAGCAAGTATTTTCTGTTTACTAAGATGTTTTGTTGACCAAAACATAAAACAGGAAACTCTGAACCTCTCATCAGATGAAACTGAACATTATAACCTTAAAACTATAAAAATATTATTCTTTTTGTAAAATTTTGAAGAAGTAAATGTATTTGGGACCAGAGTTTATGGAAAGTTGACTTTGGAGCCAAAGTTGATATTTATTAAGACCATGTTATTTCATACTTATGACAGAAAAACTTATGAAGTATAAAGGCACCAACAGTATTTGGTATATTGTTTATTTTTTCAGTGGCAAAATAGGGCTTTTAAACAACCTTATAATGGTTATTCTGTAATAGTACATGTTGACTTAGACATTTTTTGGTTAGAAAACCTTTTATCAAATTATATTAGGCTTATTTGTTCTTTGACGTTTTTCTTTATCTGAAAACCATGAGGGCCAGTATTATCAGCACTGATCTTACATTTTAGAAAGCTACAATTTTATTCTGCGAGCACATAATTAACAATGGCATAACGTTACAAAAATAGAAATGCTCTGGCCTGGAACTCTGAGAAGAGAAAGCGTTTTCATTGTTATTGTTGAACTCAGCTGTTTTGCTCATGTGTATTGAGAGGTTCAGTTTGGTGTCCTATAGCATTGCAGGTTCTGATTTGTTTTCTGAGTCTCTGATCCCTCTAGTAGTTCCTCTACATTATGTAGAGAACCACTTTTATGTTCTCATTTTGATGAGATTGTCAGTCAAACTGTCTGAATTTAAGTACTGTAAGCCAGTTAAGCTAGGCCTAGGGAATTTTACCTGGATCATGTCCACTGATAAAATAATAGTATTTCTTCATGTCTAGTGAACTCTCCTGCTTATCTTCGGGATCAAGTAGGAATAGACATTTCAAAACAGGCAGGTGAATAGTCAGTCACTTTAATTATGAAAGCATATTTTATAACACTTAACACTATCAGGTTTATATGGACATTTACCTTCTTATCCATAGGCACTGACTGAGTTAGAGTCATTGAATGGTAGCCTCTTAGCAGCGAGAAGTCTGAAATTCTACACTAGAAATTTAACAACCACTGTTCCACAATCAAATTGAATGGGAAAACTATGGAACATAATCCCCTTTGGGATTTTTTTTTTATTTGAAACTTAAACTTGGGTATATTTAGATTCCATATCCAAAACATTTCCATGACACAATTTGCTGGCTGAGTATATGTTCTCTTGACACAAGCTAAAGTCATTTGGGAAGATGAAACGTCAGTTGAGAATGTGCCCCACCAGGTTTGCCTGTGGCCTAGTTTGTGATACATTCTCTTGAATGATTATTTTTTAGGAGGGTTCAGCTCACTAGGGAAAGAGCTCTAAGAAAGCAGGATGAGCAGGACAGTAAAGCACCCCTCAGTGGCCTCTATGTCAGCTCATGCCTCCAGGTTCCTGCCTAACGTTCCAGCCTTAAATTCTCTCAGTGATGAAATTTTGAAATAAACTTTTTCCTCTCCAACTTACTTTTGCCATGGTGTTTTACCATATCAATAGAGACCCCAAATATGAAACATAATAATA